TCCTATTTAGGTTACAGAGTTAAAATCCTAAGATTTTGCCTCCAGCCCGACTTGAACCATTGACCTAGTCTGTGGGGAGTTAGCAGCTTTACCGTTAAGCTATAGGGCCCAACTCCCAATTAGTTAAAGTTAAAAATTATAGATCTTATTTAAATTCTGTTGCAGCTCAGAACTTTGCTGAAGCAATTGTGCATGTAATTGAAACAAGTCTTATTAATGAAATTAAGTTGTCAGTTAATTGGAGTATAATGATCAATGAAAGTACTTCAATAGATGAAAAGCATCTTGTTATTGCTTCTCAACATATAGCATTCAATACATCTATTATTCATTACTTAGAATTAATTAAATTAGAAGATTGTAAAAGTAAAAGTATTATGAAAACATTGGAAACATTTATAATTACAAAAAATTTAAGTATTATGAATATTTCACATTTTGGTAATGATGGTGCTTTGATGATAACAGGTAAATATTTTAATAATAACAATTATTTTTAATTTTAAGTAATAATTTTCTTGACAGATATAATCTCTAATTTTTTATTAATTATATATTTATTAGATTCTAAAAATAGTGTTTTTACATGATTTAAAATTTTAAATTCTTTTATAACATCAGTACATTGCATTGCATATCGATTACATCTTGTAGAACAAGATGCATCTAAAACAGTTCCTTATTTTAAAGAATATGAAACTATTTGTCGATCTCTTTATAATTATTTTAGTAGCTCATATAAGCAAATGTTAAATCTAAAAATAATTCAAAAGACTAATAAAGATCCACAATTAAATTTTCTTAATATCATTAATACTCGATGGCTCTCTATGTTGAATGCTATTAATAATTTACATCAAATTCTTGATTCAGTTAAGGATGCATTAAATTATGATATTATAACTGTTGAGAATAAACAAGATAAAAAAAAAACTGAAGAATTATTAAATAATTTAGACTCAAATTTTACTTTAATTACAAAATTTCTTGCAAATTTAATGTTTATTTTAACAAAACTTATTAATCTATTTCAACGAGATTCAATAATAATTTCTGATGTTCAATTTAATCTAAACATAACAATTTCAGCAATTACAACACAATTTATTGGATATGAAAATATTACTCCAACATATAGAACATTTCTTCATGAATATATGGATATAAATTTTATAAATTCAACATAACTTCCTTCTAGAATTATTGAATTTTCAAAAACAATAATTCAAAGTTTAAAGTCTTGTTTCCCAGATACACATTTATATAATGCAATGAAAATTTTGAATCAAATTTACTACCTCAAAAAGATTGTGATCTTTCAAGTTATGATGAAGCCAAAATTGAAATATTAGCTAATTTTTATGATAATCATAAGAAAACTAAAGATGGAAAAATTATTTCTGCATTAATTGATAAACAAAAATTAAAACAGGAATGGGGATTAGTAAAAGAAATCATGAAAACTATTTGAGATTTTAATAGTATAGATGGATGGAAATTTATTTTTTCAACAAAACCTTATTTTTGTAGTGAATATCCAAATATTTTTTTACTTGTTAAATTTACTCTTATTGTTCCCCTATCAAATGCTCATGTAGAACGTATCTTTTCTCAGCATAAATTAGCTAAAAACAAAATACGTAATAGAATGAATCCAGATACTCTTAATATACTTTTAATGATTCATGAAAATACTCCAGATAATATTGATCTCTTTGATTGGAGATTAGCATATTTTTTTTGGAAGGAACATTCTCAATAAGTTTAACTTTTAAATTGATTTATTTTAATAAAAATATTATATGCCGGTAGTTTTATTTGTGCAAATTATTGTGCAAATGTGTAGTTAGAGTAAAGAATTATTTGTGCATGTATTATTAATTTGTGCAACAAACAATACATGCACAACGAATTTTAAACACTGCATACGTTACTGCAGACGATGATTAATTTCTTTGTAACATCTTAGAATTATGGTCGATGAATTTAGTTCTAAGAGGTATGAAGGTTATGGAAAATGTGTAAATTGCAAGCGAAATAACACATCACCAGCTTGGTGCCAAACATGCGACCCTCAAAAGATTGTACAAGGATGTACAAGTGGAAATAAAGATGTCGATGACTGTATTAAAGAAATTCAACTTAAAGCTACGTCTTATGAAGATGTGATCGAGTGGATTCCTTTTAATAGATTAGATAATATTCAAAAGAATGGTGATGGATTTTTAGCAACCTGGTTAGATGGAATACGATATCTAAATTCTAAATATACTTATAATAAACGTATAAATGAATATACACAGTCACGCACACCGGCAAGTATAATTACACTTAAAATATTGACAGGAACAGGAGATATTCAGAATTTTTTAAAGAAGTGAGTTCATATCATTTTATTATCGTTATACATAGTTTATTTAATTAATATACTGAATTGATACTGATATTTATACTTATATTGTTTATATACGTATTTTATAAGTTTAATAATTATGTGCAATTGGAAGGTAAAAGCGTCTATGGATTAACTCAAAATACAATCACAACTGAATATATGCTGGTATTTGATGAATTCTGTTTTAAAAGAAATGAATATAAAGGGAAATGTGCAAATTGCAAGCGATATAACACATCTCGTGGTTGGTGTCAAACATGCGACCCTCAAAAGATTGTACAAGGATGGACAAGTGGAAATAAAGATGTCGATGATTGTATTAAAGAAATTCAA